CAAGAGAGCTCGGTTTCAAATGAATCTATACCATTCGTTCAGAAATTTGAATTCTGTTATCTATTTTTTGTACTTGTATAGTGATATGCAAATATGTATGCATAGAATAATAGAAATATTTTGAAAAATTGTAAATAAGGAGAAAATTAAGATACTCAAAAATATTCAATTTACATTTTTAATAACAATAAGCAGTATTAAATGTAATAATGTACCAGTATACATAAAAGAATTCTAATAAAAATGGTAACTTTACTTTTCTATATTAACGTAAAGTATTAAGATGCTTTCATATTTATTTCTTTTAACCGCAAAGGAGTTAGTTCGAATATTATTTTATTTAAAATGAGAATTGTAATTAATTCAAGGATATTTTATAATTAATAGGCAAAAATATGGAGTAAAGAAATTATGAATTTTTAATACCTAAAAATAAGGAAATTCCTGTTACAAATTTGTCCTTGAAAATATTAGTAGCGGGTATTCAATACATTCTGGTGGATTAGGGAATTCCCGTCTTAAGTATTTCTTTGAAACTATTAAGCGGGTAGGTGTTATGCATAATGTTTTACCGTATTCATGGTAATTCATTGCAAGCAAAATGTGAGACCATTATCCCAACATACAAATGAAATATGCAACACGCTCTAAGTGTAACGCAGTCGAACCGCACAAATATTTTCGAAAATTTTGTGAAAAGTAATGACAGAAAAACTCGATTTAAGTGCTGGACTCTTTTTACTCGTGTGAATGCACAGAGCGACACCAAAAGAGAATTTGCCAATGTAAAAGCACACTTATATGCAACGCGCATCGACCTCTCCAACGAGCTCTCTATTGCATTAGAACATAAATACATACATACAAGTTTAAGTGTTAGGGTGTACCTATATACATCAACATAAGGATCTAAAAAATGTAACTAAATATAAAGTGTGCTTTTTTAATAATTAAATTAACTCAAGTACTGAAAAACAAACAAAACATTGAAAAAACGGTATAAATTATCATTTAGCGCTACATATAAATCAGTTTACACTGAGAAAATTTTAATCGTATGACACGTATATTAATATATAATATAACACAAATGTTTAATGACGGCAAAAATCAAACTGCACCTGCAGGAGGTACACGCTCAAAACAGGTTGCTAAATTTATTTCAGAAAGTGACAGTTTATTTTATAACAGTTTTTATATATAATATAACTCTAGATTTTTATCATATCCAATTAAAAAAAATTTTTAATCGCTCTTAAAGATTAAAAAACAAAATCGTTAAAACTTTTGGACTCGTCACCAAGTGGCTCACCACGCCATAATAGAAACTGGTGACTCAGATCTACCGGAAAATTTCAAATCCTTGGCTTACGCCAAATACGAAAACTACTAAGATCAGTTTGAAGAAATTAAAACAATGATTTCTGATCAACTAAAAGCAATTTCACCTACTCCACATCCGAGAGTAGAGCTGTCACAAGTACAAAGTCAAGAGGCATTCGAAATAGGCATCCATCTCAAAGTGCCCACATGTGACACAAAAATATTTCATGGCGGTTATGAACAATGGCCGTCCTTCTGGGACATGTTTACAGCCGTGTACATAAACCACCCAAAATTATTAAATGCACAAAAATTGTATCACCTCCGATACAAAACAAATGGCAAAGCAGGCGTAATAGTAAAACAGTTTGCACTAAATGATGATAATTTCAATTTGGCTTGAGAAGCTCTTAAATCAAGATATGAAATCAAAAGAATATTGGTCGATAAACTAGTAACGACACTAATAAACTTGCATAAAATTCAAAAAGAAACAAGTGAAGCATTTATCAAACTTCAATCCACTGCTTCAAATTGTTTGTCGGTTTTATCGACACAGAATTTTCCCACAGACAGCTATACTGGTAAACATACGCACCGCCGCATTACCAGAAAATCGTTACTTATATGAGAGCAATCGCTCTGCTCCACGTGGCAACAAATGAAAGACTTTCTAACTACCCAGTATGAAATCGCTGAAAGGGTAGATAAAATACTAATTAAAACAAAAATTTTTCAACACGATCTAAAAAGAAGCTTCAATAGACCCCAAGCTAGTAGCAAAAAAATAAACCGAACAAAATAAACATACGTTATGCGAACTATGCACAAGAGGGCATAAATTACATTCTTGTGAGAAGTTTAAAAACTTAAACTTTAAAATTGCCAAGAGGCACCATGCTGCTCAAAAATTATAAAAAACACAAACGCTACACAGCGAAATTCAAAGTAGGGTATTACTACCCACAGCAGTCGTCTTCATCTAACACCGAGGAGAACTGTTTAAACTTAGGGCCTTAATAGACCAAGGATCTCAACGATCTCTCATAGCATCTAGGGCACAAAATAGGCTACAACTGCCAACAAAACTAGCCAATACTTATAGTTGCAGAATTGCAACATAAGATCAATAGTACTACTTGTATTTGAATACAGCTGTACTTAAAAAGAATGAAAATTTCATTTTATACAATTATCTTGTTTATTATAGTAAAAACTCACTCCATATTTTTCACTAATTGTTTGTCTATAACCGTTGCAGCTCGAAAATTTGCACTTCATTCGTTTATCCTTCAAACCCTCCCAGTGTCCGTATTGGTACAACCGCACATCTTCATGGGGAACGTGCGAAGCCGGCTAGGCCTTCTTCCTTTTTTTCAATAAGACATTCAACATCACTTTTTCGCCTTAAAAATCTGACTGAATTCTGCAGAGTTTGGAACTTTAATAGTACTATCATTTTCAGCAAATATTCTCCGGTACAAAAGCAAGAGTTAGACATAACAACGTCCATGAAATGGCAAAAACTCGTATAGCTACTTATTATTGCTTACTACGTAGTTTAATTTTGTAGCGACCCATAACAGAGTCTAAAAGGTCGACATACCCGATATCTCTATTATAATGTGCTACGACATAGAAACGTTCAATAGATATGTTCTGATCTCTGATTATACCTAAAATATGTTTAGTAAACAGATACGAAAATATCTCAAATGGAGGTCAATCAAAGTATCTCAAGCGGTAGCTTATCAAAACTACGAAAATGTAGCTGGTCCTTGGCACTCGACTAGATGTCCTTTGGGGTAATTCAGATGTACAGGGTGGGTCACAAATCATGCAAAAACTTTCTTCGTAAGTAATCGATTTACTTTTTTTTTATTTGGCAGGTTATTTTTATAATAATTTTTTAAAAATAAATGCTTGGGGTACCGAAAAGAGGGTTTCGATAGCGCAACGGTACCATGCTTTGCAGTCCATCATTTCGGTCCAAAGGGAATTCAGAGGGCATTTTGGCGACACTCCCCCGAGTAGATCAAGTGTATACTTTGAAGAAAACGGTGTAGTAGTGACTGTCAATGGGCATGGTTAATTAAAGATGTTGAATGAATTTTTTTACTCAAAACTGCGCCGAAGACGTATCCCTTTCGATAGCGTGTGGCTCTAACGAACATTTGAAAACAAATTAATATCAAGAAACTCCACTTTTCGCTGACCCTCAAGGTCATCTGACCTAACTGCACCAGACTTTTTTATGGGGTTATGCCAAACAAGAGGTGTACAAAACAAAACCTAGAAATCTGACTGAATTGAAAAAGTCTATTAAATCGATAATTGAAGCAATCCCGATTTCAACCTTTCAGGCCGCAATGAATAATCTTCTAATTAGGTGTCGCATATGCGTGGCTGAGCTCAGTGGAGGTCATTTACGGTCCATAATTTTAAAAACAATTAATTATATAAAATAAAATTAAGTTGTGATTACGGTTTGTTTTTGTAGCACGATTCGTGAGCCGCCCTATATTACTAGGCACAATGGAGGTCGGATTTGGATCCTTTGCCATAGTAATTGTTTCGGCATAGGCGGACGTTAATGCTAGAGTGGTAGTATAGGGTCCTTAATTTTCCAAATCTTGTGGTAAGTTAGTTCCACGTCAGAACTGTCATCATCACTTGGTTCGATGTTATACGTCAGATCGGCAATAACGTCGTTATTAGAAAAATTACTCGGCTCATAGTGATGCAGAACAAAAAAACTTCGCAATTGAAAATAACATTAAAAAACTTAACTAAAACACGTGGGGTTGCATATATGGAATAAGTAAAAAAGAATATAAAAAATACTTATTCTCGAAAGGGGACTAATTTTAGTTTTTTTTGAATTTTTTGAAGAAAACTGAAAAAAATAAATTTCAATTACATTATGAAAACTAATACAAAGGACTTTTTCTCACTTTTGAAGGCAACTCGAAAGCTTGAATGGTTTAGGAGATAAGTCACTTTAACGTCAGACCATTTCCCTGTAAACGTTTTTTTTTGGTTCACAGTATACCTTTTACTCACACTATTTTAATAAATCACTTATCATAAACAACTTCTAAGAACTCGAAACTAGTATGTACATGTGCTTCACTTTAATACAATTTAAATAAAAACATAGCCAGTCGTTAAAATGCTATCTTGATGTACAACACCGAGTAAAGGCAGTCTATCGACAAGTGCTATATTTTTACTTGAACGGTATGTTGCAAAAGTGCAACAAGGCACCGAAAATGTTAATTTGGAAGCTCCAAATTATAGCTATTGATATGATTGCGTTTAATGGTATTTTGTGACCGTGGCAATTTGTCGTTTTAGACTAATTCCTACCTCCCCATTTTGCCAAGGAACACTTGTGCAAAGTTTCATCACCGTTCCCACAGCGTCGATAAATATATATATATATATAGTACATGTTAATATAATATCAGTTATCAGTTTAATACAATGGCGGTAACCTGACCTCTGTATATTATTTATTAGTATTTCAATTGGTACTTGTATAATGTCGCTTTCATCTGGATGTATATATGTGTATGTTCATAAAATGTTAAAGTATCAGTTAGTACCGCTTAATAGCTCTTCAAATGCAGTTAATTTATTTAGTAGTTTGGAACATGTTAATTACGTTAGCTTACCTGACTGCAGGAACTTCGAGAATATCCCACTCCACAGACATATAGAACTCAGATAGATCTACTCCGACATCTACAATGTTATTGCCCTGCTGTTCATCCATATGTCTTAGGTCAACCTTCACAAAAACGAAATCGTATTTAATTCATAATATATAATGAATATATATACATATATTCAATATATGTTTATAAATTATTTTTATTATATTTATTTCGAGAATAAGTATCTTCTTTTACATCATTATGAAAATAATTTAATAAGAACCATGATATCATTCGGTATTAGTTAATTTAATATTCTTTGATTTCCATATAAGGTAGCGATTTTAACAAATCATCCACCTCATATCTGCTAAATATAATATTATGATCATATTGCTACTATAGTACCAATAAAATCGTTAATCGAAAGCCTATAAAATGTAATAACAAAGGTCCAAATTATGTTACAAAGCTGTAATTTTCCAAAGGTTATTGCAATAATAAGGGACATCTACATATATACATACATGGCATAAGTCTGCTATGATAACGATAATCAATAAAATCAGTATATGGGAGCTGGGTTAATCATTGGAGCCGGTGTCAAAATTGGGCAATCAACTAATCCCATCCAAAATTGTTACTTGACATTCTTATGCCTTATTGTAAATACTCACACATTCATCTATGTACATAAAGTACATATTTGGCATAAAATCTGGTAGAATAAGGATAATCAATCCTACTTAAAGAACTCGAGGAGCAAGGCTGTCGGGTGATAGCCTATGCTGATGATGTGGTTCTTATGGTTAAAGGTAAATTCCTGAATACCGTCTATGAGCTCACCGAAGGGTACCTAAACGTGGTATCCAACTGGGCAAATAGAAGCGGCCTAGCCGTCAACCCAAGTAAAACCGAAATGGTTTTATTTACTAGGAGGTATAAGATCCCAAATGTGCCTCTCCCCTCTTTTGGAGGTTCACGTCTCCAATCTGTTGATAAGGTGAAATACCTAGACTTTCACCAAAGGTGATGTTCTGGCTCTACGAAACCGTAGTCAAGCCAATATTGTTCTGTGGTGTGTTTGTCTGGTGGAAGGTGCTCGAAAAGACTACCTTGGCTAAAAAGCTTGAGCGAGTCCAAAGAGCGGCGCTCATCGGAATCTCCGGTGCATTGCGAACCACACCAACGATAGCTCTCAACGCTATATTAAATATAGCACCTGGGGACATTGCCGGTAAGTGCATTGCTGCGAGGTGTGCTATTAGGGTCAGGGAAGCTGGGCTCTTGAAGAGATCCGAACAAGGACACGCCACAATTCTCTCCTCCTTCAGCTGCATTCCTGAAAATTTGGATCACTGCGTCACAGCGGCCACTCGAGGCGACTTTTTCTCTGCTCATATCCCGACTAGGGAGATGATCAAGGTGGCGGTAGAAGTACTGCTGCGTAGTACAGCCTCGTTTGTAGAAGTGAGCATTCACTCTGATAGTAGGGCAGCAATACTAGCTTTGAGCGCGCGTACCGTGCAATCAAAGCTAGTCAGGGAGTGTCTGTCCTCTTTAGAGGTAGCGTCTGGCTATTTCAACATCAGGCTCGTTTGGGTGCCTGGTACCACAGCGGAATCGCTGGGAATTGCAAGACCGATGAGCTGGCCAGGGAGGGCACCCTTGCCCCGCTCACATCGGAATGGGATCGAGTTGGTTCTCCGCTAACGTCTTGCATTCTGGCTCTGAACCAATGGACCTCGCATGCGCTCAGCAGACGCTGATCGACGACCAACTCCTGAGCGACTGCGCGATCCTTCTGGCCGAGAGTGGATCGCAGGAAGTCGGGGGATCTTCTCGCTTTGAACAAAGTTCACCTCGCCGCCATGGTAGGAGTTCTCACTGTAGTTGTCAAAGCTGTATGGAGGAGGGTGAAATGGAAACATCCCGACACTTTCTCCTCCACTGTCCGGCTTTTACTAGGCTGAGAATGAAACATCTCGGCAATCACACTTTCGGCGGACCAGAAGATTTGGCCGAGACGGATATTGGCCGTCTTAACAAGTTTGTCATAGGCACAAAGCGCTTTGTCGTCATGTAAGGGTCTATTGATCCGGCTCATAGGAGTTTTGGGTACCACAACGGACCGGCGTTTAAGCTGTCCAAGTGTGATCCTTCTTAGGATCGACCCTCTAACATAACCTAACCTAAGGATAATCAATATAATCAGTATATGGAAGCTGAGGTCATTCTTGAATTTATTTCGCCCATTTTCGCCATCAAGCTGTAGCATATCCACTATTAGATGTCAATTTATATTGCTAAAATATATTGACCGATAGTTATGGTACGTGTATTAAGGGCTAGGGAAAAAATTTAACCGATTTTAACCAGTTTTGCCACCAGGGCACACTAGGACAACAAAGCAGGCAGTGACAAACTTATATTTCGTTCCGCTTAAATGTTATGGTATGTTGCTATGCTACAACTTTGACAATTGCTGAAATTTACATGAAACTTTAACACTATATTCCTGATATATTATATTATGAATTCAATTAAAACAAGGGCTAAGTTCGGATGTAACCAAACGTTTTATACTCTCACAACTTGCAAGGATCAAACCCGGGTTAATTTACGCCTCTGGCGCATTATGTTATAGATCTATAGTACTTTTAGTAATTTTTAACAAAACCGTTATATGTGGAGTGGACGTGGTTGCAATCGAAATTCATCCTTTTTCATAGGCAGGAGTGCAAAAAAGATTTGTCCTGAGCAGGTTTAGTTATTATATTTGTTATTAGAGGGCGGGGCACGACCATTTTTAAAAGAGTTTTAGCCAAGGCGTGCCCTTTGCTACTATGGTCCCCATTAATTTACAATTTTTTATCTCTATTAAGTTTTTGGTTATGGCACTTTATATGTTTTCGATTAATTTCCTTTTGGGGGCGTGGTAATGGTCCGATTTCACCCATCTACAATACTAGTCCTCCTGGATGCCAGGGAGCATATGTTCAAAGTTTGATTAAGATATCTTAGTTTTTATTCAAGTTATCGCTTTCACAGACGGATAATCGTGAATGAATAACAATCCAATTTTGTATCTGATTAACTTGTATTGGAGGTCCATGTCCTCATTTCGTTTTATGTATATCTTTTAATCCAGTCAACGAAAATTATATTAAACTTATCCTTAAATACGAAATATATGATATAAACTTAACCGAAGAGGGTAAATTTAATATTTTGAATAGGAAAACGTTAACCAGAGGATCGAAATACTTTATATTAGGGATATGAGGCTTAGACCACGTGATAAAATACATTATTTTCCGGCAAACATGTCCATATACAATAATTTCATTAAAATATGACACATTTTGATAAACTAGAGAGGATTCTTTGTTTTGAAAAGTTTAAAAGCAAAAGAAATTTATGAATAATTGTTAGAGTCCTCACCTTCAAAACGCTTTGTTGAATTTGGGCTGATGAATATTAACGTGATCGCACTAAGCTTGAAGGCGATCCACGCGAGGGACAACAAAAAATCGCAGCCACACCAGAAATCATTGAGTAAGTTCATAATATTGTTAGTGAAGACCCAAGTTAGCATATTTGGAGCGTTTTAAGCAGAATTAAGACGATTTCTTGCGTCGTTTTATAACTATGGATGAGACTTGGATCTACCACCATGATCCTATATTGAAACAAGAACGTTTACAGTGGACTGAAGCTGGTTGTTCAGCTCCAAACCAGGTGTAGTCACAATGATCAGTAAAGAAGGTTATGGCATCAGTTTTTTTGGATGCAAAAGGAATTTTCTTGATCGATTATCTGCAGAAAGGTAAAACAATCAACTTTGACAGTTTGACTTTGCAGTCTTTTGGAACAGCTGGATGAAAAAACTCGTGAGAAAAAACCTGGTTTGTAGCTCTAAGGATTCATTTTTCATCAAGACAATGCACATGCTCACAAAGGTGTTTTAACAATGACAAAATTAAACGAATTAAAGTTCGAATTGCTGGAGCACCCACCGTATTCACCAGATTTAGCTCCCAGCGGCTATTTACTCTTCAGAAACCTGAAACAATTTCTTCGTGGAAACCGTTTTTCGTCGAAGCAAGAAGCTAATACGGCCGTAGAGGGGTATTTTGCAGAGCTTCCGGAAAGTCATTACAGGGATGGCATAAAATTATTGGAGGTTCATTGGAATAAATGTATTGACGTTAAGAGAGATTATACTGATAAAACATATATATTTTGTACCAAAAACAGTATTTTTTTCATTTGGAACGCAGAAACTTTTCAACCAACCTGTAATTGGAAATTGAGTGCTTTTAAATTTAATTGACACATCTGTAAGAATCATGGGTATTCGTGGCAGCAATTCAATTTCGACTCGAAACTTACCATTCGAAATGGTGGCTTCGATAATGATTGTCATTGATTTTAGCTAGACTATTATTGTGCCAATACCAAGCCGTATTATGTTCAAAGTACAAAGCTAAATAACCGTAAATTCCACTTTTAGTTGTAAATAGTGCAGGGTATGCCCAGCATATCCACAAAATTCATGAACTCTATTGGATAATTCACAGGCATCGCAAACAGAATCGATAGGTTTGTGTAACATCAAGTCTATTGGAAACAACTGTTGTGTCTTTGAATTTAATTCATTGACGTCCACATTTTTTGCTGCCAAAATCGCTCTTTCCGTCAGCCACTCCAGATTTTTATACTTTGTATGTACATCTAGAAATATGTATGTCGATGGGGGTATTTTGTTAGTTGATGATTGTGGCTATGGGCGATTGTTCTTTATGTTGCACACTGCATCTGGGTTATTTTTTAATGGCAGGCTTTATAATGACGTGTTCTGCCTCCATCTAATAAAGTTGCTGCAATGCCAGATAATGTAACGGTCAATGTGATGCCATTTTTTTGATCGTATTTCAGCAAGAAGTTGCGAAATAAGGAAAGTTTCACCTGTTGCTTCCACAAAAAAGATAATACCCTTTGCCATGCCGAAACTGCCAGCATAACGCGGTCGTAAATAAATTGTTGCTTGTTCATCATTTAGTAGTGAAACATTGCAAAAAATAGTCGCTGCCAATTCTACAGTATCTTACTGCAGTTTAAGATTTATATC